ATCTATCTATCTATCTATCTATCTATCTATCTATCTATCTATCTATCTATCAGTGTGATAATATCTATCAGTGTGCTAATATCTATCTATCAGTGTGATAACATCTCTCACTGATAATATCTATCTATCTATCTATCTATCTATCTACGAGTCCGATCATATCTCTCTGTTACTTTGGTCTTATCTATCTAACGCTAGGTTTAATTCTATATTTTTGTCTTTAATGCCTGTAATAATTTCTCTTTCTGTTTTAATATTTGACCTAAACTCATCACCTCTCCGTTTCGTCCAAGTCTATTTGTTGTTACTTCCGCTTTAAAAACAAATGTCTCTTCCACAACGCTTTTTGTTTACAATAACAACGCCCCACAACGAACTATTCTTGTCGTGCGCACGTGTTTGTGTGTGATACGTTTATTTTTGCCTGATGTCCTTGGGTAATGGTTAACGAGCTAGTCTGACTATTATTAAATGGTCAATCAGACTAGCTCGTTAACCATTATCCAAGCCTTGTTGCACTGGTCATAATCTCTATCTTCTTATTTACTGGACACAGGACCGTAAGTACGGGCTACTCTTTCTGATTCGAAGTATAAGTTCCATTTTTGCTCCATTTTTACCTTTAAACTTCCTCGTTACACACATGGTCTGTCCATGGTATTCCCAACATACTTCTGTAGAAATAATGATGACACATCATTCAAAAGCTATAGAACTTTCTTCTTCTAGGTACCGTATCCCTTCAGGACGTAGGCGATCATGGCTCTCCAGAACTTAATAGGATTTTTTTTCTTTTGCTATCTCAATCCCTTTTTATGCCATACATTCATACAAGTTTATTAGGCTGTTTTCTTATGTCCCTCTTGCCTTCAATATGTCCTGTGGGCGTCAAATTCTCCAAGCCCTCTTTCATTATTATGTGGCCTAGAAGTTTCAACTATCTCCCCATAATTCTAAATATAAGTTTCTTTTTGTTTCCACTTTCCTTTATGTTGTAGAGTAGTTTTCACAGTGGAGACTTGTATTTCACTCAGTCGGTCCTAAATTAGGTTCGACGTACAAAACGTTAGAAACTTGAAAATAATAGTTAATGACGCAGCAATCTAGTTGTGGTGATTGATACTTCAATGTCCGACATCGACTGACTCACTCAACTCACTGCCACTACTCCTACTTATTATCTGTGGGAGAGTCTATTAACAATAGAATAGGTATGTTCCGGTATAACACTTTACTTTCCTCATTTCCTTTTGGTTGATTCTGTCAGCCTCCTCTAAGCATAAAGGATAGTTGTGAGTTCAATCCTCACAATGTGCCCCAATAAATGTGACCTTCAGATAAATTTACTCTTAGTTTATAACTTGTGAGTTTCTGTCTATTGCGCGCGTGTGTGTGTGCATATTTAAACATGTGTGTGTGTGTGTGTGTGTGTAGGTGGGCATCAGGCAAAAATAAACGTGTAACACACGCACACATCAGCACACTCACACATTAGCAGGCACGCGCGCACACACTAAGACAAGACGAGTTCGTTGTAGGACGTTATGATTGTAAACAAAAAGCGTTGTGGAAGAGACATTTGTTTTTAAAGCGGAAATAGCAACATAGAGATGGGCGGGATGGAGATGTGATGAGTTTAGGTGAAAATTACAAACAGAAAAAATAGGAATTCTGGGTCATATACGTATCTAGGTCAGGGCTGAGACATAGTGCTGAAAGACAGAAAAAAAAGAAAGAAAGAAAGAGAGAAAGAGAGAGAGAAAGAAAAAACGGGAAGAAGGAAGTAAGAAAAATAAAAATGGAGAGACGAAGAAAAGGAAAAAAAGGGAATAAGAAAAAGAAAGAAAGAAAGAAAGGCAGGCAGAAAGGAAGGAAGGAAGGAAGGAAGGAAGGAAGGAAGGAAGGAAGGAAGGAAGGAAGGAAAATGTAGAGACAAAGAAAAGGAAAGAAGGATTGAATAAGAAAAGAAAAGGAAGGAAGGGAAAGAAAGAAAGAAAGAAAGTAGGCAAGAAAGGATGAAGGAACGAAGAAAAGCAAAGAAGGAGGGAATAAGAAAAAAGCAAAGGAAGGAAGGGAGAAAGGACAAAAAAGAAAGGAAGGAAAGTAAAAGGAAAGAAGAATGGGGAGAAAATAAGAAAAGAAAAAATGGAAAGAAACAGGGGGAGAAGAGAAAGGAAGAAAATGGTGGAAAGGGTGGACTCAAGGGTAAGAAAGAAAGAAAGAAAGAAAGAAAGAAAGAAAGAAAGAAAGAAGTAGAAAATAACAAGAGGGCGAGCGAAACACGGAAAAACAAAAAGCGTTGGGAGAGGAAAGACGAAGGAAAAGTAGGAGGAAAATGAATGAAGAAAAAGGCGAAGAAAAATTCAAAAAAAGAAAGAAATGAACGAAAGATATAAATGGGGAAATGACACAAAATAAAACGAACGAAATACAAGAACTAAAGTTTAGGGAAGGAGGAATAAAGAAAAGAATGATAAAGAAAGGTGGAATGAAAACAGTAAAAAATATGCAAAAGCACATGAAAAGAGAACAAGAAAAATAACGAAATAGAAGAGAACTGAAAAAACTTTAAAAAAATCGGTTGAAAAAAAGAAAAATTACGCCGAACAGTTATCTCCCTTAACTTGGAAATTTGGGTTTTGTAAGTTATAAATTAATTCACACTGTTGTCCCTATTCGAGAATAACAGATGAAACCACAAACTTTTCCTTGGTTCACACCGGCCTGTTCAAACACTATAGCCCACACGAATCACGTTTTCAGGATTTACCGTTGTGATAATTCCGATCACAAGACGACGATTTCTATATGCTCGTAATAATTGTAAATGTATCCTCAAAGAGGCTAAGTCTTTGATAATAGAATGAGGCATTGTATAATCTCTAACAAGTTTGGCTCTCGTGACTACTGGTGGCTCTGTAAGCGTGTATTAAATAAAAGTAAGTCTTTTCTCACCCTCTTCTTTTGCTGAACTTTCCTCAATGGTACCTAGGCTTTATGAATTTAAGCGCGATACTAGATTAACGTCAAGGTCTCATTTACGCTTGAATTTATGGGATATAACCGTAAGTTCTATGTTAACAGTTTCTTCTCTGACACTTCCCGCTGGTGGAACTCTAGGTTCCTTTCTTCCCAGTCAACTTTGATCTTCAAAAATTAAATACAATGTTAAACGTTATCTTCTGTTTTCTTAATTCCTGTTCTTTTATTGTTCTCTCTATCTTTAATCATGTTTTTCTTCTTATATTCTCTCACACTCATTAACCTCCTTGCGTCTTAGTGGCTTTATTGCTTTGCTTGGAGTGAAATGTTTAAAAAAAAGTCCGAGCTGGAGCTTCATAATCTTCACTCTCCATCCTTCAGAGGCATTTACACAGCCTTGTGGAGGGGACAAATATCCCCCCCTCCAGCCCATTTTCTACGGACACAACGTAACAAGCCTGTTTCTATTCTAGCTCTATTTCCATGACAACTATTCAAGCGAGCTTCTTTCTTTAATGCAACCATCTCAGGCTTTTTACATCCAAGACACGCACAGATTTGGATCACCTTCAATCCTTACGTGTTCCTTTGACAAGAAGAGCGTTCAACTCCGAAAGCTTTTTTTCTGAAGAACCGCTACTTCGTGGAACAGACTACCCAAGGATGCTTCTCTGAGCACTACAATCCTAACCTGTTGCTAGTCCAACCCAGCAAGTGGTGTTACCCAAAGGTACTGGCGTTCGAGCTCAGGAAAAGAAAAACAAGACAGGCACACTTCACATGGGCGGTTATCGTAATTAAGTGTTCTTATTCTTCAATATGCCGTGTCCCTTTAGGACGTGGACGATCATGGTTCTCCACAAATCCCTGTCATTAGCTCTTAGTCAAGTTTGTCTTTTCCCCATCCCTCTCAATACCTTTTACAAAAGCTCTTCAGGTGGGTTATGTTGTATCCTCTGCCCCCCACCCGACCCCATTTTTTTTATAAAGCAATTCGCCCCAAGCAAGACAGGAGTGTCACTAGCACGCAAGGGGTTACAGAGAGTGGGAGTAAGTGTAAAGAGGAGTGTTTGGGAAAAGGATAAAGAGAAGGACAGGGATCAAGGTCAATACATCAGAAGATATCGATTGACATTACATTTGAATATCTGAAGATTATAGCTATAAGGGAAGCAAGTGATAGGAAGAAAGTTCCACTTGTGCGAGATAAAAAGCTGTTGGAGTAGAAGAGATGGCTACATTTAACCGCTTCGACAGTGAAAGGGCGAGACCGAGATGCCAACCTAGTAGCACGCTTAAATTCATGCAGTTTGGGAACCAGTGAAAGTAGCTCGTTGAAGCAGTTGCCATGAAAGTACTCGTAGAAAAGGCAGAGGGTAGCCACAGCACGTCTACGAGGTGGCGTACAATATGTACATTGAATATCACATTTTAGGGTCCATCGATATCTATCCACCATATCCCCTATCTTCCTACGTCCTCCTTTTAACTTCATACTAGATATTCAATAATCCCTTAACTTGATCGTCTCTTGGAGGAACAAAGAACGGTTGATTCGATTTCTCTGGTCGGAAGATATGTCAGGGGCTGATATTCATTGGAGGCCTTTAAAATAATACGGCGACAGTGCACTACCGCACAGAAGTGGGTAAGAGTGGATGGAAAAAATTAAAAGTGGACGAAAAAACGTGACGCACGAAGAAGGAGCAAGGACGTCCGTCAACCGCCATCACCGGCGAAAAGATTCAGCAAGCTCGAGAGATGGTAATGGCGAACTGGCAAGTTATCATCGATGAGGTAGCACGTTCTCTGCAGATTCGGATCACTGCTCTTTGTTCCTTCTTGCTGCACACTGCTACCGGAGCGGCCATGTTTACATTGTAACAGCAGTAAGAAAACTGGCGCAGTCAAGCTCAAACTCCGATGACATGATCACAATAGCACCAACTATAAGCACGCATGAGCAGAAGATATTATAATCATTTTTGACTTACCCATATATTCTGAAATGTCTAACAATGACGTTAACTACAATGCAGCTACGGTACCCAGTACCGGTAGTAACATTCAAATATTCCGACACGATGATTAAATTATTTCCATCTCCAATCCCGCACGCACATCGGCACGACGGTTATTTGGCACCACACGCTTAATATTATATTTTATTTTAAGAAAGAAATTATCCGCGTTCACTTGTCAAGTCCTCTGTACCCACTTTGATATCTATTCGCAGAAATTCATTGGTTAAGTAACTCGTTGTTTCCCTCTACACATCGTGCCTACAAATTGTCTTGTGAGTGTGTTATAGTGGAACACACCTATTCTATTGTTAATAGACTCTCCCACCTTCAATCAATAAGTAGGAGTAGTAAGAGTAACGAGGGAGTCGCTCAGTGGGTCGGTCAGTCAGTTGATGTCGGACGACCGTTAGTCGGATACTAAAGTATCAGCAACCGCATCTAGATTACTCTGCGTCATTACCTATTATATCAAGTTCCTAACGTTTTGTACGTCGAACCTATTTTAGGACCGACTTAGTACAAATACAAGCCTCCACTGTGAAACCACTCCATAACAGAGTGTCAAATTCTCCAAGCCCACTTTTCTCGTTATATGATTCTGATTGTACTTCGTGTTAGCATTTCCCTTAAAACTTCATAGGACTAATGATGATGATGATGATGATGATTTCTTTTATTATGATTTAATTGTTTATTCCTTCCTTCATTTTCTTTGTTTATTTCCAGTACACACCTCTTTCTTTTCTTTTTTTTTAACCCTTTTTTCCTTCCCCATACCGTTCGTCTTTCCTTCAATCCCTTCCTGTAAATCTTCTTGTCGCACTATATTTTTTGGCAATATATATCTAATTCCCGTTATGGATTTCTTTCTTCCTCCGCCACCCGAAACCTTTCTTTCCTTTCCCATGTTTATTTCCTTTCACACCGGCCATCTTTCATTTCTTTCTTTCTAGCAAATTCTTTTCCGCTCTTACTTCATTCTTTTCTTCTTATTCTTTCTCCCTACCCTTTCTTCTTTTTCTCTCTTTCTTTTCTCAACTCGTCCATCTAATCATTCTTTTCTTTCCTTCTCTTCATTTTCCATTGCTTATTCTTGTCATGCTTTTCTTTCTTCCTTCAATAATCAACACCTTTTTTTTCATTTTTACCTGTGCCTTCTCATTCCGCATCTCTTGTTTTGTTTTCTACAATTCTTTCTTTCTATCGCTATTATTTTATTCCATATGTCTCTCTTCATTTTCTTCCTTTCTCCATAGCATCTTTCTTTCTTTCTTTCTTTCTTTCTTTCTTTCTTTCTATTTTAACCCCTGCCTTCGTGTTTTCTTTCTTTCTTTCTTTCTTTCTTTCTTTCTTTCTTTCTTTCTTTCTACCCCTTTACCTTCTTTTTCTTCTTGTAATTCTTTTTCTTCTTTGTTACGCCTTAATTCCTTATTCTTCCCATCATTTTCTTTCTTTCTCCGTGGCCTCTTTCTTTCCATTTTTTCTTTTCTTATTTCCTCCCCATTCTTCTTTCCTTTTACTTTCCTTCCTTTCTTTTTTGTCCTTTCTCCCTTCCTTCCTTTGCTTTTTTCTTATTCCCTCCTTCTTTGCTTTTCTTCGTTCCTTCATCCTTTCTTGCCTTCTTTCTTTCTTTCTTTCTTTCTTTCTTTCTTTCTTTCTTTCTTTCTACCCCTTTTCCTTCTTTTTCTTCCTTTCAATTTACTTTACATTTTACCGTTTTTCCTACTTTTCCTTCATATAATTCTTTTTCTCCTTCGTTACTGTTTCATTTCTTATTCTTCCCTTCATTTTCTTTCTTTCTCCACGGCCCCTTTCTTTCTTTCTTTCTTTCTTTCTTTCTTTCTTTCTTTCTTTCTTTCTTTCTTTCTTTCTCTCGACCCCTTTACCTTCTTTTTCTTCCTGTAATTCTTTTTCTTCTTTCTTACTCCTTAATTCCTTATTCTTCCCATTATTTTCTTTCTTTCTCAACGGCTTCTTTCTTTCTTTTCTTCAATTTACTTCTTCATCACGGCCATTTCTACTTCTTTTTCTTCCTGTAATTCTTCACTTCTTTCGCTACTCTTTCATTCCTTATTCATCTATTTTCACTTTCCACTTTCTTTCTTTATTTTCTTTCTTTTTTCTTTTCCTTTCTCCTTATTATTTCATACCAAATTCTTACCTCCATTTTCTTCTTTTCCTCTTTTTTCCATATTTCCTTTTTCATCATGCCTTTCTCTATTTCCCTCACTCACCCTACAATTCTTTCCTCCCTTTTCTTTCCTGTCCATATTTTATACTTTTATTTTTCTCCTCTCTTTCTTTATTCCTTTTTTTGTCTTCCCGTTTCTTTCTTGCTGTTCTTTTTTCCTTTCCACATTCTTATACTGTCCACCATCTCTTTCATTATACCCGCCCCAATTCTGTATGCGTCCTTAACTCTCTTGCTACGTCCCTCTCTCACCTTTTTCTTTCTTTCTTTCTTTCTTTCTTTCTTTCTTTCTTCATTGTTTCCTTCTCTTAACCGCTCTCTTTGTCGCTCATATCTTTTCATCTTTAATTCCTTCTCTGTACCCCATGCCCGGTTTTCTAAACCCCATCATTTCTCCCTTCGTGGACGTAACAGAAGACTATTGTCATAATACAACCAATGTTGACTTAAACCAAGGAAAACATGATTCCAGACATCCGTGATAATCCAAGCTGGATTCATGGTCCCTGCAGCAGCAGACGCTTAAACATCGTTTCTGTTAATTGGTATCAGTACACACTTTGCATGAATTTAGGGTTATTGGCAGATAAACATCATCTGTCGCATGAACCTGTTTACAATATTTGGGAAACTCTTCCAATAGTCTGAACATTCAGCCGTGTAATTTGCTATCTGCAGAGGGTAATAGAGATCTGAACGAAGGTGAAAAACAACTCATTACAAAGTAATCGCCAATACGTTATTGGTACTTGGCATAACAGATCGATTGTATCGATCAGAGATTTATAGATTTTGAGAACTGTAAAGAATGTTTCACAGACTTTTAGTTCTTTCATTTAGAAATGCCGTCTGTTCACATCTATCTCTTGATATTGACATCTATCTATCTATCTATCTATCTATCTATCTATCTATCTATCTATCTATCTATCTCCTGGTACTGACATCTATCTATCTATCTATCTATCTATCTATCTATCTATCTATCTATCTATCTATCTCCAACTGCTCATGTCTATCTCAGTCTGTTCAAATCTAATAATTTAACTTGTTAGTTCCTTTCAGATGCCTTTTACATATTTACATCTCATGGATATAGGAACCATTTACTTCGATTTTTTGATTCTATTAGTAAATATTTTTTTTTATAGTCAGTGACTATTTTACTTAGAAATACTTTTTTTTAATATTTTTTCTGTTAATCCCATACTGGTCTTCGTTCTGTCACTTCGAGTGAACATTCTGCATTTTATAAAGCACATTAATGGCGAACAACGGCTTGCAAAAGTTAAGAAGAGATGAGTAAACCTGAAAAAAAAAAAAAAAAAAAAAATAGAAAATAAAATGAACACTTCTAAGATTTTCTTAATATTGAACAAAAGGTGACTTTTGTATCAACTTAAGAAATACCGGCGTTTCAAATTTCTTTTCTGTCATATTTTTTCCAGGCAATAACTATTTTTGCATGTTTGCAACACATAACCCACTTGGCCTGCTTTTGCAAACGCTTGCATTGAATTGTGTAGGCCTAGAGGAGTGGCTTCCTATGACCATTCATAGGTGCACGTCTATTGAGTTTTGACGGATATATCAGCGATATATATATATATATATATATATATATATATATATATATATATATATATATATAGGGTGCGTTCCACGCTCATATCAAATTTCTTTGTTAAGTATTTTTTCAAGAAACGGAAGAAGGTTTCTTTTACTCAAAAGCGCAAATTTGGTAGTAAGAGAAAGAATTCGAGCAAAATAAATATGTTGGCGTTGCGTTGAAACGACATGAGTCAGTCGGTTCGCTCAAACTGAGATTTGCCAGTGTCCAAACTACGAGCCATAGAAGCTAATTAACGGCTAGCGACCTCTTACCACTGTAGTGAGTTTGAACCTCACCGGATACTCCCTACCTTAGGCCTTGTACCATACTATGCTACACTAAATGTGTTCAAACAGTGTGCGCCTTGTCGTGAATTATTGGCTTGCGAAGTAGCCTCAATGTCTATTACGAACATAGTGAGTTTGATCCTCACTAGGTGTCCCACACTTCTGGCCTTGTAATGTATTCTTGTAAAGTTAGTAAATAAATTTATCTAGTATCAATATATTTCATTCATTCATAATGTTGATGAGGTTTATGTTATACGCGGATTTCACTGTGTTGATATACTGAGTAAGGTATATGAAATATTAAATCTAACATCATGAAATATGAAATATTGAATCTAAGATTATAAAATATGAAATAATGAATCTAAGATCATAAAATATGAAATATTGAATGTAAGGTCATAAAATATGAAATATTGAATCTAAGCTCATAAAATATGAAATATTGAATGTAAGATCACAAAATATGAAATATTGAATCTAAGCTCATAAAATATGAAATACTGAATCTAAGATTACAAAATATGAAATATTGAATCTAAGCTCATAAAATATGAAATAGATAGATAGATAGATAGATAGGTAGATAGATAGATAGATAGATAGATAGATAGATAAGGATGTCAGTATCAGGAGATAGATAGATAAATAGATAGATAGATAGAATATTGAATCTAAGCTCATAAAATATGAAATATTGAATCTAAGACCATAAAATATGAAATATTGAATCTAAGCTCAAAAAATATGAAATATTGAATCTAAGATCATAAAATATGGAATATTGAATCTACGCTCAAAAAATATGAAATATTGAATCTAAGATCATAAAATATGGAATATTCAATCTAAGATCATGAAATATGAAATATTGAATCTAAGATCATAAAATATGGAATATTGAATCTAAGCTCATAAAATATGAAATATTGAATCTAAAATCATAAAATATGGAATATTTAATCTAAGATCATGAAATATAGCTCTAGGAAAGCGATTGCATGTAGCCGACAGTCTAGGTATTTCGGAATGGGTTTGTCGTCGAACATGGCGTGCATATGAAAGTCTCGATATGACGAGGCTATTTATAAACATGGCTAGAGATTTTAGGTTAAAGTGAGAAAACGTTTGGATATATCTGAGAGATAGATATTTCTGAACGAGATGGACAATATACATGACATCTATATGAAAGTCTAAAACTGATGAGAGCATTTAAGAGCATGAGATCTTAGGTTAATGTTGTTAATGTTTGGTTTAGTTGCGGTATTGCGTGAAACTATCTCAGCGCAAACTATTCTATGTTCAATTTCCTTATCTCCTATAATAAATTTGTTAGAAATGATCCATATAAAGAGGTATTTGAAAAGTTTAGTATTGAGCTCTTTTAGTTAGTTAGTTGTTTACTCGTGTCGGGGTTTTTTCTTTGGGCTTTAAACCTGTATCTGTGCGATTTTTTTCGACAGACTTTCATATTTCTAGCTCATTCTTTATATATATATATATATATATATATATATATATATATATATATATATATTATATTGGGGAAGATGTATAACTGTTATGGAGTGGTTTCACAGTAGAGGCTTGTATTTGTACTAAGTCGGTCCTAAAATAGGTTCGACGTACAAAACGTTAAGAATTTGATATAATAGGTATGACGCAGTAATCTAGTTGTGGTCGCTGATACTTTAGTATTCGACTAACGGTCGCCCCACATCGACTGAATGACCGACCCACTGAGCAACCGACTTGTTACTCTTACTACTCCTACTTATTATAGGTGGGAGAGTCTATTAACTATAGAATAGGTGTGTTCCACTATAACAATAACAAAGATGAAAAGTTTTCGTGAGACGCGTTTCGTCCTTTAAGATTTCATCGGACTAGATATGTTTACATTGGTGCGACTACACATCCGCACGAATGAGAGACGCTGGGAATTTTAAATTTAATCTTTTTCTGTCTTTTGGGTACATAATCTAACCGATTTCATATAAAATTTAATATCTACCGAAAATCAACTAATAAAAATAATTTCATAAATTTCTATTCCCATCATAACAACAGAATACAATCCGGAATAATCATCGGATTCTACTTAGGGGCACTTAAAATTTGCAGCCCTCAATATTTACATGAAAAGGAGAAATATATTGAAAACACTTTCAAGCTCCGCCAATACCCTGTGTCATATTCAATGCAAAACAAATGGCTCATAAAATATTCCGAAATAAAAAAATCGGCCCTCCAGACAAATCCAACGAATCAAAAATATATTGTTCTACCCTCTAACTCTATCACAACTAGAGTTGAAAAGAATTCAAACTCAATATAAAATTCGTCACAAGTACGTCTAAAACAATAAAAGACTTAATCAAAACAATATGCTAAAATATGCAATAGGAGTTTACGCTATCACATGTTATACAAAGAAAGAAAGAATACATTGTGGTAACTTCAAGAAGTTTAAATAAAAGATTATATAAACAGGAAAGGGATATTTCACAAAACAACGTATCAAATGCATTAGTTGCTCACCGCAATGTGACTGACCACAATATTTTTTTATATAAAAATACTACTCTAATTTAGCTATGTTGTTATAAATCGAGCACTTTTTATTACCAATATCATTTACTGGCCGCTCTCTCTCTCTCTCTCTCTCTCTCTCTCTATATATATATATATATATATATATATATATATATATATATATATATATATATATATATATATATATATATATATATATATATATATATATATATAACCGGAAACCAAATGGCAACAATTGAAAGAAAAGAGGAAAAAAGGGAAAAAGAGAAAAAAAATGTTAAGGACTGGGTGTAAAGTGAAAAAAAAATGCGACGAAAAGGACAAATAATCACGACATCCTACACGTACGCACATCCGCGCAGATCAGTGCGTACAATTGGTGCATGCGCACGAACATGTACACGAACACATACACTGTGAAAAAAACCTTGAACCAGTGATAAGTGCATATAAAAAGAAATCGGGAAGTATAAGCAGTCAGCTGCTCATAATCCCTGAGGTGTGGACGGACGGATCTTTCTACGAAACTCTGGAGTCGGGATGCTAAATGTAACATCAATCAGCTTAGTCACAAACCTCTCCTTTTACTTGTACTAATAATTATATATATATATATATATATATATATATATATATATATAGTCTATCCCTTAAACGGACAATGTATGACTGATTATATTGTATAGCTAGCTAGCATACATTCCAGTAATAATGTCAAATTTTATTTTGCTTCCATTGAAAATTCTTGGAAATTTTGTTTCTACGATCATTGAATGACTCTAAGCAATATAAAATACATAAATAGCACTGCTCTCTCTAAATATTCCTGGCAATTAAAGAATGGTGCTAATACACCCATTATTAGGTGGGATATTATAGCTAAAGCCAAATCTTACAATAGGAAAGGCGATAGACGTAATTTATGCCTTGTTGAAAAAAATAGTCATTTTAAAAAACTTAAATAACATTAGCTTATTAAAAAAGAGAAACGAATTTACTGCTACCTGTAGGCATACAAATAATTATCTGCTGAAATACGTTGATCCACATTAATTTTTAATGTAAATTATGTTTTTTAAAAAACCAGTAATCTCCCTTTGTGCTTAATATAAAAATTAATATTTTAGATGCTAAATATATTTCACTTTAATAAACTGTAATCCCCGTATAATATATGACTGTGCCAACATTGCGGTAATCACATATTTTTATTCAAATTTAAATTGCATAAAGCCCAGTCTATACTCAGCACCTGAAGATTGCTTTTTGCTACCGGTAAAGGGTAATATGTATGGCCGCATCACGTTGAAAGACCTTTTTCCGTACGACCAGTGTAGTTAAGCCATGTCAGAATCTAGATGGGTGACCGTTTGGGACTACGAGGTGCTGTAAGTTTGGATGTGCGGGTAGTATACTCAATAATGGCTCGGAAGTGTTCATTACGTTTGTTTAACACTGTTATCGCATTTTCTTCATTCCTGGGCTCCCTAGGACATCCAGATTTCAATTTTCTAAGGCTGCCAAGAAATGAATCCCTGAAATCGTAAGGATCACAACGAAAACTAATCGACATGA